AAAGCGTATTTAATCAAAAATCGTTACAGAAAATCTATTTCCTCCTTCCGTTTGATAAAATTTATTCAAAAGTAATTTAACATGGTTAAATTGGAAACTAGCTATTTCCACAGTATATTACACATATATAAAATGCACACACATGTTGCATAGTAAAAAATGTTAAAGCTTTTCAAATTGGGAATGGAAAATCGTGCGTTCCAAATTTTTATACGTACTGATAAAAGTCATTTGCTGTTTCATTACGCAGTATATACGAATTGCACGCTCAAAATAAATCGGAATATTATAACAGATATCGAAACATCATATAACTCTGCAGTGCAGAAAGTTTGATTTTACCAAAAATTATTTATAAGCATATAAAGTATAACTAAATGTCGTAATAATAATCTGCATTATAATGTCATAAATATTTGCATCTATATATATTACCGCAAATTAAAAACTAAATTGGCTATTGTAATTTTGTATCATTTTAGATTTTTTAAATGCAATTAATTTGCGAATTTTTGAATATATGAAATCACAAAACATTTTTATAATTATTAGATACATAATTTCATGTGTTAATTCATTCGATAGATATACATATAAATTTATGCTATATTTGTATAAAAATCCGAAAAGTAAGATATATATATATATATATATATATATATATATATGTCTTTTTGTTAATAGAATCTACCAATTTTTAACGCAATTATCAAATTGAGAAATATTATTCGGATAAATCAAAGAGAATACTTATCAAACGAATTAATCGATGATTATTATTATGGTAATCTTGTGAATTTAACTCAGAGCGATGAGTCTATAACTAATGCTGCAACGATATGTAGAAAGCGCGATAGTGCACCGCAATAAGCAAGATGTAACGAAATAGATTGTCAACGAGAAAGATTGCGAGAATTCCTTCGAATTTTCGATAAGTGTCGTTTGCGCTCTAACTTGTCCCCATCGTGCCACAATCGTCATTAATGGCTGAGCATCTCTCGACCTGAAAACTTCTAGATAGCAATACTGGAAGATATTACGCGGAAGGAAAATTTTCTAAAAACCGTGCAGCTTTAATCATGCGATATTAATGATCGAAATTCTTCTTTTAAATGCATTTGCGATTTATCGAGAAGTATCATTTTTGATGAGCAAAAGAAATGAAAGGAGAAAAGAGACAGAAAAAGAAAGAGAGAAAATTTAAAAAATAAAAAACCTAGTAAAAAGAAGAAAATGAAACGGAAAAAATTTATTGTGTTTTAAAAGATATCTTACAGAAAAAAATAGAAATATCAACATCACAATATCATGAGAGAAAAAGATATTGAGAAACGATTAATTATCGAGTAAAAAGTTATTTAGTTTTTTTGGTTAAATAAAATAAAGATAATTTTTGTTATATGACAATGTTAATTAAGATTATTTTAAAATTTCAATTTCTTAACACAATGTATATTTCGCGATAATATTTCAGAGTAATGTAATAATATAGCATAAAAGAAGTAAAGAAATAATAGCATTTCGCGTATATGTTAAAAAAATTTTAAGAAAAAAATTTAAAAAAGGAGTTTAAAAAAAAATATATCTTGAAATTGTGTGCAATGTCAATTTAAAAATGAAAATCACAATTGAAAAATTATTTTTCACTTGCTTATGATGCAATTGCCAATCTTATCCCAAGCACATGTTGCAAATCAAACCACACAATTTATTTTCTTTTATTAACATATAAAAATTTTCAAATTAAGGAAACTAAAAGTTCCAATTGTATAAAATACAAACATTGATAATAAAATATATAATAATAACTTCCAATATCTATAAATTTTTTGGTATATTTTTTTAGGTAAAAATTCACAAAATTTGTGTTAGAAATGTGTGTGACGAAAGATTTAATATTATAAATGTTTATATTATATACAGAAGTTTTTGTTATATTAATCTATCATATTATATATATATATATATATATATATATATATATATATATAATATGATAGATTAATATAACAAAAACTTCTGTATATAATATAAACATTTTAGTCAAAATATTTTTTAATATTACTAATTATTATTACTAATAGCATTAACGACAATATATATACACGTTTATGGCGATTTCAAATCTCAACTTCATGGATAAAGTAGTTAATGAAAACTTTCCATTAGGTGTTGCATAGTTATTATCTTGCACGCTCGCATAGCCGACGTCTATCAACGCCATCCACGTCGGTATACGACTATTTGCTGCAGAAGCAAAATCGATAATCCGATTTCATTATCACATCATAGGGACTAGACTACGATTTTATTAACTAGCACACATTGATTTTATAAATATATAGCCATGTGCACGCAATAGTATAAAGTAATATGATGGAATTCATTTATGATGCCTTTAATTTTATTTTATTAACTGCAGATTACAAAAAAAACGATTAAAATATAATTTTCCTAATTCCTAAATTAATCTTTTGCTACATAAAATACTTTTAAGATGTAGTCTACTTAAGTCAAAAAAACATTTTTCATTTTTTTAATAAAATAATTTTTTATAGCTTATAGATATTTAAAAATTTAAAGAAATTATGTTTTTGCACGGATTGTTATATATAGAGAGTTTTCTTTTATCTTGGTAGAATTTTATTTGTCCGTATATAAATTGCATGCAAAAAATTTGTATTTTCAATCTAAAGTTTATTTAAAGAGAAGCTATTAATTCCTTGAATAAAAAAATATGTTTTTAACATCATATATTTAATATGTTTCTTTAATAATCATATTCAACATCTAATAATACTAATCAATAGATATTAATTTAGATAGATATTTTATCGGCTTGTCTTATCAGCTTATTGAGCGTCTTTTAAAAGTCAAATATATTTTAAACGAAAACAATATTTAAATTAATTTTTTAAATTATTAATTAATACTTAGTGGAGAAAACACATGCGTCAAATGGAGGATAATTTTAAGGTGAATATATTATATAATATTTGTTGGTTTGCAATGAATTTCCATTTTGCAAAAATCAAAAACAATTTTAATAGTTGCTCACCTGTTAAATTTGCAATTTTATTCATATTATTCGAACATTTAATATATCCACCACAGATTTCGCGACAAATCCAACGAAATGCCTCGGGAAAAAAATATTCTGAAAATAAATAGCATCACGTATATTCCGTATTTCCGAATCTCGGACAATCGAAAAATTCAATTGATTTAATTAATATACATTTATTTATACGAAAATATACGACTTATCTATGTAGTGATAATTAATTTATAAATCTTAGATAAGTCCATTAATCTGTGGCGCCTAGATTTATGAAATTGTGACAAATCTATGAGATTGAGTTATAAAATACATATATTTCAACTTTCAGCGAATTCAATTTTCGATGCCGTAAAATGCATACGTAAATATATACATGTGTGTATGTATGATGTGTGTGTATATATACAAATATTGTGTAGTATTTTCATTGTTATAAACAAATAAGTCAATTTTACACAAATGTGTGGCATCTAAATTTTGATATACGAAAAAGTTTCTCCTTTTTTTTTAGTATCTATTATAACGTGCGTGCTGATTTTATTTGTTATTTGAGATTTTATCAGGTAAAATACGCGATGAAATACATATCAAGTCGACAACAATTAAAGAGAAATTATCATGCGACAAAGTTTAATACCTTTATGCGTGACTACCGCAAATAACTCCCAAGTATACTAGCGACATTTGTGTCACCAAGCAATTCCCATAGAAATTACAATCATGCGAGTAGCATTAGAATCTCTTGCAATAAACGGTCTTAGTACTAACTTGATAGCACACATTCCGCGTATATTAACAAAATTATTGTCATCTCTATATCTTATACATAATAAATCTTACATTAGCTAGACTATATAAACAGATATGATAAAATGCTATAATAAGAAGATAATCAATATACAATATAATGAATTGACAAATTTCTCGCGACGCAAAATTTTGTTATTAGTAATTTAATTAATTTGGAAAGTATTTTTTAAAATAATTTCCACTATTCTTAATATCATTTACTTCGCAGAAAATAATAATATAAATACATATTTTACTTTAATTAAAGCATTTAAAATTTCTTTGTCATTATCATAGCATTCAATATATAATTTTAAATATATATATATATATATATATATATATATATATATATAGTGTTACATATTTTATGTTATATGCAAAATATATCAAAATCATAGATATTAATATTAATAATTTGTTATTCTTGTAATTCTTGTAATTTCTCTCGCTGAATAAAATAAACATTTGTTGTATTTATCTTAGAATTGACCAGAATTAAAATCAGATTTTTTAATTATGAAAGAAAACTGTTCAGCTAAATATAATGAATATAATAAAAATCTAATATATAATACATGTACACAAAACATTAATATATACAAATTATGTAACTAGCAAATAATAATTATAGTAATATTTAATAATTCTATATTCGAGAAATAATGTGATATATTTACATATATACGTAAAAATTCGCAGAGAATAAATATGGCAGCTTTATAAAAATTAATTAATAATTAATTAAGTAGCTAAATAATCAAAAAACGAACTATCTATTATTTAAGATAGTTGGTTTTGATTATTTAGCCACTTAATTAATTAATTATTAAATAATGATCAAAATGAACTATCTATTATTTATTTGATCGATTTCAAAGCAAATCAAACTTATTCAACATTGATACCAGATCAAACTATCACCTGCGGAAATCTCTTGATGTTAGTAACCTAGAATCAAATTCGGGTCTCTGGGTTTCTCGTCGAAGTTTCGTTCATTCCCTCTCTTCTTCAGCTTCCCTTTCCATTTCGCGCTTGTGACGATGTGTAGTGTGAACGCACCCGTACGCGCGCAGGGGATAGAAGCGACAGCAGGTATAGACCCAGCCTAGCAGGAGAGTAGGTGAGCTCAAATAGATCGATGGACATGCTGCGCACGCAAGTACCTCCGGTTATACCTCTACGGGAGTAGGAAACAGCGCTCCACGAACTTCCGTAGGGTAGGGCGGCAGAGAAATAGCTGGTGGGAGTCATACTAAAGAGAGTGGGAAGGACACCAAAGGAGAGAGGGGAATGTGAAAACGAGGGGAAGGCACCGTGTTGGAAAAACGGGAGGGTGAATGTGAATGTGTAGGTGAGACAGTGAATCAGGGAAGGAGATGCGTGACGTGGTGCCTTTAATGAGAGAAAGAGAAAAGAAAAGAGAGATAAAGCGAGACAGATAGAAAGAGAGAGAAAGAGCGAGAGAAGGAGAGAAATAATTGCGAGGTAGAAAGAGAAAGCAAGGAATATCAGCAAGGCTATTTCAAGGAAAAGAGATAAACGAAAAAGTAGGGGTGCGTCAAGGTAAAAGAGAGAGATGGTAGTACAATGTGAGAAGGAAAAAAATATATGCAAGATAGAAAGAAACGGAGAGATCTTTTTGCAACAGACGAGGGATAAGTTAGAGACAGTCCGAATTCTGAGTGAAATGGGTGATGGGCGAAGAGAGGTGGAAACCACTTGAGAAGGAGAGGGACGCGCAGGGATGAAACCAAGAGGGTGCAACTGGTGAAAGTGGAAGGAGAGCAACGCAAGCGACTAGAGGGAAGAGAAAGAAAGAGAGAGAAAGACAGGGTGAGAGAGGCACGCGACGGCGTCTCACCTGTTTGCCAACCCGCCAGTCTGGTTTACGCGCCCGGTCATCCGTCGGCGCTACAAGTGGCTGTTTCACTTCGACTCTCGAACAAGCGCGGGATCGTTCATTTGTGGCTCTTTATTGCCATAAATATCCGTAGATTGCGAAAGTACGTGTGATAAAGTTCTAAAGACGATACGATACGTGATACATTTTGTTTCGAAAGATTCGTCTCGCTACTCCTGCTCATCATCGTCGTTATCAACGTCAGCGCGATGGTGAGTAATCGGAGTCTGTGTTTGATCGAACTAGGCCATCAGTGACACCAGTAAATCGCTTCCGGTCTTTGGCGGATCAGATGACAACGACACTGTTTGAAATTTAAGACGCGCGCTCTGGTTAGATATGTTACCTAAACATCGATTGTATGTGCTTAGAAACTTGTACTATTGTGGTAATTGACTTAATTGACATCTTATTATAGTGCAATATTAATCGCAAAATAAATTAGTTTAAGATCAATATAGTAAGAAAAGATTAAAAAATTTAGCTGCAAAATTCAAATTTGTGTTTTTACATGTAGAGACTAGTAATCTCTTAATTGCTGTGAAAATTTAATAATGGCTTTTAGTGACGATCAATTCCTCGGTTAATTTGTTTTCCGTTCTCATGATTTGCTCTTATAAATATGTTATTATATACATTTTCAAAATTTGAAAAATCAATGTAATAAAAGAAAAATCTATGGAAATCGAAAACATGTGTAATTTATTAGCGATTAAGGCATCATTCAATGTCTTTTTTCAATCACAAAAATTTCAATTAAATATTCCATTTAAAAAATTTTCTTTTTAATTACATAAAAATGTATTTAAATAATGTAATAAAACGAAAGATATTTCAAAAATCATAGTGTTATAAATAATTGCACCACAACAAAATATTACTTCTTTGTTAATTACATTATTCAATACATTAGAGATCAATGCCATTTGGACAATGTATTACAATAATGATGAACGCTAGTTAAACTGTGACAGTTCTATGCAAATTATATCTCAGTGGAACACGTACGCAATTGAATGTCATAACAAGTAGAGAGGGTCAGCGTACCGTCGGACATGTCGAGGATTATCGTCCTACCTGAATTGTCGTGCATGGGTCGATGAACGTATAATGACTTTTGATAGGTGGGAGTGTCAATGCAACATAGAAACGATTTCTTTAACATATATATTGCCCCTGGCATTTGCTGGTATCAAATAATTTGAGGAATATTTAATAAAAGGCTTAGAAAGAAATGTTTATTCATTAGAAATTTTTAATAAAATTCGCAAAAATATATCATAAACTAATCAAATAAAAATTATTTTTATTAAATTATTTTTATTGAGTTTTATTTAAATATTTAATATTGCAAGCAATTGAAAAATATTCGAAATATTTGATATCTTTAAAAATTTTTTTTATTTTTATATAGAAATTTTATTTTCATGCAGAAAGATTGTATGTGCATGCATTAATATAAGCTTAAACAAAATTGTATTTCAAATAAGCAATCTGAATAACTGATATAAAAATATGTTAATATATGAAGTAAAAATAAATAGCAGCTTGCTCTCGATAATTATAATTTATTAATAATATTAGTATAATTTATTATATCTGTAATTTTTTTTTAATTCTAAAGTTCTTATCACACAATGATAAAGCATTTACCAAGCATTAAGAATTACCGATAAGATAATTAATGATATATCAACGAAAATCCTAATCAATAATTAAATCTTAATAATTAGCACATTGATTATTTGAACTCGATAAATTATTAGCGACCGTGATTATAAATCGATGGGTATCAAATCATGAGTTTATTATGGTTAGATCTGCTAATCCATTAAAGTTATTAACGTATTTTTTAAAAGATTTATCACGAGACAGCAAGATTGAAATTAATCAATGACATAGCGCATAGTCTTCGTTAAAAGGCGCTGTTACGCCCGTTAATTAAATGACAGCCGAAACGAGTAACTATTTCCGGCCCGATAGAATGCACAATATATGCGTTCGGAGTGTGAGAAAGCAAATTGTCGCAGTCTCTCTTTCGTAATCGATCAGCTCTGCTTGTCAGTGACGGAAGCGCTTTAACAGGATCGAAGATATTTGTTGAATTACAAAAATCCGTTTTGCGCGACGATGCAATACACGTGATTTTACGATATTTTTTACGTCAAATCAATAAGCTTGAGCTGAAAATCATATAATACAAAAAAATATAGAACAAAAAAAGACTCCGCAACAACGATTAAACAGATTCTGTAATGCTGCAATTCAGATTTAATTCGATTTTATTCGAATTTATGCACTGGAATCTGTGCGAGAAAATATATTTAGATCTAATTATTGTAAACATGGAGTGAGAGAGATCACATATAACAAGGTGTAATGTTATATATATAGCACAGCAGAAAAAAAATCGTAGTATTTATATTTTAAATGTTATCTGGATATAAGACATATAAAAGACAAATTTAGAAAATAAGATTTAATACGATAAAAATTAGTTTATCTTTAAAATCACCTCTCGCTACGTTTTAATCTAGCTGCATCTCTTTCCATATATTCAATATATTAAAGATGTAAAATAAATTAAACAATAGCTAGAGGGTTTTGTTGATTATCAAACGAAAATATGCGGAAGTCTTCGCCTTTTCGATATTTGTTAGAGAGAGAAATTCATCGTTGATTGAAGCATAATGAGAAACTGACGAGCCAATTCGACGAAAGAGAGACTTCTTGCCGCTCGATCTGAATTAGGAAAACATACTTGTCGATCTAACGTTTTCGATTTCCACTCGTCGTATTTTTGCAATCTTACGAAAAGAAAAACGCTGAATCCATGTAAATTTCTGTTAAAATAAGAATCTGATTGGGCTCGCATATTCAACGCGACGCGAAAAATTTCTCTCGACTTCCTATTTAATCTAACTCACTACTGGAGTGAGCATTACCAATCTTTATTCGGGTCTGTTCTTCAGTGTTTGATTTAGGACTTGTTGGGACGATCCAAGTAAAGTCGGTAAACTTTCGAAGTTTGTGAGGGAATGGAACAGCAACCCTTCAGCTACGCTTCCCTTCTTCAAGATATTTTTGACAGGTCGAAGATCGCGAGATATTCTGGATCGTGAAGCTTATTTAGCCGAATAAATCAAGTAGAATTAATGATGTAAAAAGTTTATAAAAACATGACGTATGATTTAAAACTCTTATTATATAACATGAATATATCTTAGTAAATGATATACATCGTTATATATATTATTATTATCACATACATTATTACATTATTACGTACATCGTTATTATATATAATATAATTGTTACATTGTAAAATTTTCTTAATCATGGTAATACTTTTTTCTAAAAGGCTGAAACTAAACACATAATAATGATTTCTATAAAATATTTTGGCGTTTTTTATATGACGTTATTTATAATTTTAAATTTAACATAAATATAAAAAGTTTATGTCGAATTTTGATGAATTTGTCAATAATGAATTATCATAAAACATGGCTACAATCATGTACGTATTATAATTGATGTCTAATTTATACTGTTAACTCCTTCTGTGGCTTATAATGTACATATTTGGATACGTAGATCATTACATATGTATTACATTACCCTCATTTTTCTATATTGTGCGAGATGAAAAGTCATAATGAAATATTATGTTTATGACAGAGTGAAAATGTTTGTCATAATTTCTTGATTATGTCATATTTATCCTACAATTTATCTCGACTAATCCAATATAATTCTCTTTTGTTTATAACCTTTGTGAAAATATGACAGTGTCTTACATGCTTATAATTTAAATTTGATATTAAAATACATATAATTTGGATAAAGTTTAATTTTAATACACACACATGTATGTATGTGTGTGTGTGTATATATATATATATATATATATATATATACACACACACACATACATACATGTGTGTGTATTAAAATTAAACTCTATCCAAATTATATGTAGATTTTAATATCAAATTTAAATTATAAGCATGTAAGATACTGTCATATTTTCACAAAGGTTATAAACAAAAGAGAATTATATTGGATTAGTCGAGATAAATTGTAGGATAAATATGACATAATCAAGAAATTATGACAAACATTTTCACTCTGTCATAAACATAATATTTCGTTATGACTTTTCATCTGGCACAATATAGAAAAATGAGGGTAATGTAATACATATATAATGATCTACGTATCCAAATATGTACATTATAAGTCACAGAAGGAGTTAACAGTATAAATATATATATATATATATATATATATATATATATATATATACAGGGTGTCCCATGATTGAAGGTCCATACTTTAAGAGCGTGTTGCTGATGCCATTTAGAGTAAAAAAAGTCTAATAAACATATGTCCGCAAATGCATCCTAACAGAAATACAAGAGAAAGTATTGAAAGTTAAATATTTAAAAAAAAAGACACTTAGAAAAAAAAGAAAGACTCAGCCTATACTCTACAACTGTCTATTTTTCATTTCCATTACAATAATTATAAATATAATGAATATCGGCGTATTCTTCATTTCAAAACAACATTTTACTAACTTTAAAAGAAAATGTAATACCGGATTGACAGAAGATATAAACGATGCTAGACTGACCGAAAGTGTAAACGATACTAAACTAACCGAAAATGAAAACAAAATCAGACCGACAGAAAATGTAAACAATACCAGGCTGATAAAAATGTAAACAATAACAAACTAATAGAAAGTGTTTCACATATTCATATCAACTTTCAATACTTGTATTTCTGTTAGGAAGCATTTGCGGACATATATTTGTTAGACTTTTTTTACTCTGGCATCAGCAACACGCCCTTAAAGTATGGACCTTCAGTTATGGGACACCCTGTATATATATATATATATATATATATATATATATATAAAACAATAATGTTTATATTTAATGACAATAATAAAATAATTATCAAACTATATAACATTTAAAATTGACTAAATTATAAACAGTGTTGTTAAATTTTTATAGAATTGACAAATCTCAATTGGAAAATTCTCTCATTAACAATCTGTTGACGTAATCAAAATTAAAATCAATATAAATTATATTAAAAAATTCGGATGTCTATTGTTTTATTATAATAATGTTGAACAATGGTTGCTATATATGTATCAGGAAAGAATCAGAGAGTTCAGTTCCTTTCGGTTGGG